ATATATATATATATCGGAAACGAGGGAATATTTTATAATATTGAATATTACACAGGCATTGAATATTACATTCGTATCTAAATGCAAATTTTCGTGTGCAATGGCTAATATAAAATTTGAATATAAATAATATTCTCTTTATCTCTCTCCCTCTCTTCAATATGTAAATTCGGAAATTTCCAAAAAAAGAAGATTACTCAAAAAATTATATATAATAAAATAAAATATATTAATTTATTACGCGCAAGCACATAACGTTATTCTGCAGATATTTTAATTTATTTGTAAAATTAAGAATTTTGCTATCATTTTTGCTCCAACATTTATCCAAAATTTAAAAAAAATACATTTTTGCTTTCGGGCAATATTTATAACCCATATATTCACGACCGCAAGTATGAAAAGATGAAAGGAAAATCAATAACCCAACAAAATTGAAAAACGGTATGTTTGGAAAAAACGAGTGCTCCGCTGTTGTATCGTCTCTATAAAAAAAGCAACACGTTCTTAAAAAAATATTACATATATTTTGTAAGTAAAAAGCGGAATATCGACTGTTAAATATAAGCTATGAATTTCGATAGCTTAGTGCAACAGGTAGACATATGCGGATTGATCACTATTAATCATACCTGTGTAAAATACACAACATTTTTCATTCTTCTCTTTTTTGGCGTTTCGATGCTCTTGCTCTCGCATTTCGTGGCGAGAAAATGTAACGGCTCGTGGATTTTGTCGCATTGATGCTTCCGCATCGTCGCGATATTCGTTCGTGTCTCCGATCTCGCGTTCTCCATGCACCTCCGATTCTCTTTCCTTCTTCGAGCTTAAATTTTTATCACGCTTTTCTTCGCATATATTGTCGGCGCACGAAGACGAACTTTTGACGAGACTCGCGTCAGTCACTTGGACGAGATTTCTCTGCGAGCATTCTGATTTAGATGCGTCTCTCACTACACGGCCGATGCTCGTCGCCGCGAGTTTTACAACGTTCTTGCAGGCGTCGTGCACTTGCGACCAAATCTTGCTCATCTGTAAACTCGTCCAAAGAGAGTAATCGCGCGTCTTGCGACGTTTGCCGTCGACGTTTGTATTGTCGCTCCTCGTTTGTGACCTGCGAAACATTTGCGAAACTTTGCTATGTAAAGTGTCTCTCGCGTTTTGCATTATACAGAGTGTCGCAGATTCAACATGCGTCTTTCTCTTGAAAGAAAAGTCAATTCCAAATCGACCAGAAAATCCATCAAAGAGAGAAACGCGACAGATCTGCCACAGTTTGTATATAGCGCAAAATCTATAACGGAGAAAGATTGCTGTTAAAGCTTGAAAAATATTTTGACGTGTTACGGCGTGTTAGTTGAATTTGCAGAACAAATCAGAACGTATTTTATTAAATTCCGGGAAAATGTTTGGTGTAAAAACCAAGAATATTCGCGAGGCGGTTACAAACAAAGTCGACCTAAATCCATAAAAGCAAAATCTCACTGTCAATTATTTAAACTTTTCTACTTTCAATCAACAAAATTCGTAAAAAATGCGACGTGACATTTTCGGTACACTATTAAAAATACGTTTTCGTTTCTCTCTTCAGTTTTTGTCGCGTACCAAAAGATAAAAAAAAAAAAAAAAAAAAAAAAAAATAGAATATAAAAATTGCTACGTTAAAAGATAGAAATAGGATAGAGTTCTTATATATATATGTATATATATGAAAATAGCTTTCACAAAACAATGTGAGGAAGAGAAATGAGAGATAGGAAGATTTCGATTCTCTTTATCGGGAATAGATGTGCGCTGCAGTGCCAAAACCAGGCCGGGACTAACGTTGCTTCGCCCATTTGCAGGCTCTCGCGTTTCCTTATCTCTTCGCTTTCGCGCAATTGGACACGAATTGCCTCATCCAATTTATATCTGTTAGACGTAGCCGGCGTTAGATAAGGAAAGAAACAGAGAGAAACAGAGAGAAAAAAAGCAATACAATCCATTTATCGCGCGGCCATATCTCATTCAAATCGACTCTCACCTGGAATAACGTTTTTCTTTGCAATCTACGCTCGCGCGCGTACCGGCGTCTACAGCCGCGATTCTTCTCTTCCATTTGTAATCCAATTGTTGTTTGACGTCAGTTTCAACGGAGCCTTGTTTCCACCCTGAATCCATTCCGCGAGCGAATCCTCCCTCCTTCTCGCGAGATCGGTCGGAACGCGATGATTCCGCGACGATGCAGCGATCTTCGCGGCGCCGTCCCATACGGTCATCTCTCCTCGCGTCCCACGTATCGACGGTTTTCAACGAATCGGATTTATTCGGACGTTCGTCGTCCCTCGATACCAGCGTTGTCGTCGTCGCCGTCGCTGTCGTTCGCTGCCCGCATTTCCCAGGACGCGTATCAATCTCGCATCGCGACGGTGCGCCGGCAGTGCGCGAATTGCAAAGATCGACGACGCTTTCGCTAGGCTCTACAAACACGCTCGTCCGTTCCTCCCCAAGAAAGCATTTCCGGATCGTATTCGTCGAGCTTTCTCTCCCTCCGTCGCATTTCGCGTACCGATCCTCGCGACCTCGAAAATATCCATTCGTTGAGAATTCAGGCGTGATATTCGTCGATTCGTATCGCTCGGCCTCCTCCCTTTGATGCCTCTTCGGAAG